AATTTTTTAAAAAATCAAATTAAATTGTGTTTGGGGCTGGCAGGTGGCATGGTGGTTAAGGGCACTGGACTCCCACATAGCTGACCGGGGGTTGAATCCTGGATCTGGCAGCTTGCTTTCTCACTTTCCCCTTCTCTCTCTCTCTGTCTCTCTCTGGTGAATTTTCCCTTTCTCTGTCTCTCTCTAGTGAATGTGTTCTATATATAAGTTGTGACCTCTAGGAAAACAGTAAAGCAGTAGGCATACTTGCCTTAGTTATTTTGCTGGAAATATTTCTAATATTCCATCATTAGGTATGACATTATATGGGTCCTTTTATAAAACTCAGAAATTTTTTTTTGAAGATTTTGCTATAGGGCACATACACTTGTCAGAAAGCAGAGAGAGACAGACAGACAGAAACCAAAAAATCACCCCCCAGGAGAGATAGCCACACTATAATTTCTTCTCCATTCTCCTCTTGGGATCTTGGGCACACACGCACACGTGCCCGGAGTGAGTTTAAGCCACCGGGTCTGGGACTCGAACTGCAATTGATTACATGGGAGTTCAGCAATGTAGCCATTACGCCAACTGCTGGTCCCAAGCTCAGACAGTTTTGTTTTTTATCTGTATTAATATCAATTTATACTACTACATCTTAGCTATAAGACCTACAATTCTATAGGTATTATAATAATACCAACTATAACAATGCTTATAATAATAATACTAATTATAATCATACCAATAGTAATAATAATTATTATACCTATAATACTAATACTATAATAATAAATAAAATTAAGTAATTTCTTTTTTTAAAGAATTATTTTATTGGGAACCAGCAGTTAGCGTAATGGCTATGTCACTGGACTCCCACGTAGTTGACCGCGGTTCGCATCCTGTCGCTTTCTATCTCTATGTCTCTCTGTCTGTCTGGCAAGCGCACGCGCCCTATAGCAAAAACCTCTCCAAAAAAAAAAAGAATTATTTTATTTAACTTCATCCATTTATTTCTTTTAATTTGACCAGAGAGTGATAGTGAGAGAGAGAGAGAGAGAGAGAGTGAGAAAGCAAGCTGCCAGGTCTGGGACTTGAACCACACTCAACTACATGGGCATTCAGCAACTTAACCATTACACCATTTACTGGTCCCAAAATGAAATAAATAATTTTTTTTTTTTTTGGAGAGGTTTTTGCTATAGGGCACCTGCGCTCTACAGAGAGATAGAAAGTGAGAAATCACCCCCCGGGGGGATAGCCACGCCGCAATTCCTTCTTCTCCATTCTCCTCTCGGGATCTTGGGCATGCACGCACATACACCTGGCCTACATTTAAGCCACCGGGTCCAGGACTCGAACCACAGTTGACTACAGGGAGTCCAGCAACATAGCCATTATTCTAACTGCTGGTCCCAATAAATAATTATTAAAAAGGAAATAATCAGCTTTCCAGAGGAAGATATTAAGTCATGCATGTATTACAGAGCACCTCTCAGTGCAGTTTTCACAACTATAACATTAGATTTATAATCCTAAAATAATACATCTAGGAACCTTCATCCCAGCAAATCCTTATTTTGAAATTCAGTTTCTCAGTCACACCAGCTACATTTGAAGTGCTTAAGTAGACTGTTGTGGCTGTGACTAGTATATTAGATAGTACAGAACATTTCTTTTTTTTTTTTAAATAATTAATGCATTTTATTTCTTTTTCTAAAATAATTATTTCAGGGACCAGCAGATGGCATAATGGCTAAGTCGCTGGGAAAAAAAAAGTTCAAGTCCTGGACCCAGTGGCTTAAACTCACACTGGGCGCGTGTGTGTGTGTGTGCCCAAGATCCCAAAAGGAGAATGGAGGAGAAGGGATTGCAGCATGGCCATCCCCCCTGGGGGGGGTGATTTCTCACTTGGCAAAATCTGTCCAAAAAATATTTTATTTAACTTTATTTATTTTAATTTGACCAGAGAGGGACAGAATGAGAGAAAGAGAAAGAGAAGGAAAGTGGGAAAGCAAGCTACCAGATCCAGTACTTGAACCATGGTCAGCCACGTGGGATTCCAGTGCCCTTAACCACCATGGCACCTGCCAGGCCCTCTTTTTTTTAATAGATTTTTACTTTAAAAGTAAAAGCCCATGTGCTCACTGGAGAGAGAGACAGAGAGACAGAAAGCAAGAAATCACCCCCCAAAGGGGATGGCCGCGCTGCAGTCCCTTCTTCATTCTCCTCTCAGGATCTTGGGCACACGCACACACACACTCAGCATGAGATTTAAGCCACCAGGTCTGAGACTTAAACCATGTTCTACTATGTGGGAGTCCAGCAACGTAACCTTTATGCCATCTGCTTGTCCCAGGACAGAAAATTTCTTTCTTTTATTTATATTTTTTGGAGAGGTTTTTGCTATAGGGTACATGCGGTTTCTAGCAGAGAGACAGAGAGACAGAAAGTGAGAAGTCACCCCCTAGAGGAATGGCCACTCCACAATCCCTTCTCCTCCATTCTCTTCTCAGGATCTTGGGCATGCATGCACACTTGCTTGGTATGAGTTTAAGCCACCGGGTCTGGGACTCAAACTGCGGTTGACTACACAGGAGTTTAGTGACATAGCCATTACACTAACTGCTGGTCTCCCAGGACAGAAAATTATTATCAATGAAGAAAGTGCTTCTTTAGAAGAAGTGAGAACTTTTTCTTTCCACTGAAAGTCAGATACTTAGAGTCAGCCATATACACCAAACAGGCTCTCTATTTCGTAGGTTGTTTTCTTGCTCACGTGAGGGAAGTTTGTAAAAGGCAGAAAAGTCGCCATACTCCTGTACAAGATACTGCTTTCAGTGGCTAGCACATGGCCTGGTGGTTCAGAGACGAATCCTACATAGCTGAATGTATGGTTTGAATCCTGGCCTTAGGAGCTTTGCCGGGTACATGTGTGTGCATGCCCCAAATCCCAATAAGGATAGAGAAATGGAGGAGAAGGGAATGATGGGAGATGCATTCTCCCTCTCTGTCTCTCTCTTTCTGACTAGTGTACATGCCTTATAGCAATTTAGAAAAAAAAGATACTGCTTTCAGATTCATCTGACTTGTAGGTTCTTACATGAAAGTGTCAGAAAACTGCTAGTGCGTAGTTGGCAGTAGGACTGAATTCAAATATTCGTGCCCATCTAAGACAAACTCACTGGTTCATCCTCCCTGTATCCTTTCCTGCTCTTCCCTTTCTCATTCCTCGGATGAAGGCTGGCACAACCTCAATCCTAAAACAAGGTGAAATTGCAATAAATAGACAAATGTTTGTGTATATATTAATATGTTGATGTGTGTATCTGTTTAGGCTTTAGGAGAAGTGAATTTTATCTATCTATTCATTTTTAATTTGCCAGGGGTGTATGCACTGGCTAGAGAGAGACAGAGTCAGAAAGAGGGGGAGAAAAAGAAAGCACCTCCTAGGGGGATGTGGTCCTGCCATAACCCTTCCCCAAGTCTCCATTCTTTCTGGATTTGGGGAATGCTCACACATATGCCTGATGGGTTTTTCTAGTCACTGGGGCCAGAATTTGAACTACATAGCCATGTGGAATCTCTTTTAGCCACCAGGCCACAGGGCTGGCCCGAAAAGTGGCATTTAGAATAATGAATTCTTTATGTCTGTCTGTCTGTCTGTCTATCTATCTATCTATCTTTCTATTTTTAATAAGTCCTTAGATATCATCTCATTGAATGCTCACCCATGGTTTTTCTTTTTTTTTTTCCGAAGAGGTTTTTGCTATAGGGTGCGTGTGCTCGCCAGACAGACAGAGACAGAGAGATAGAAAGCGAGAAATCACCCCCCAGGGGGGATGGCCATGCTGCAATCCCTTCTCCTCCATTCTCCTCTCGGGATCTTGGGCACGCACACACACACGCCCAGCGTGAGTTTAAGCCACCAGGTCCGGGACTCGAACCACGGTCAACTACGTGGGAGTCCAGCGACATAGCCATTACGCTAACTGCTGGTCCTACCCATGTTTTTTATATGAGTAAACCAATATTAGAGGATATGATTTTTTCAAGATCTTATCAGTAGTTAGTATTAGATCTAGGACCAAAACCTTTATCCATGACCTCTAAATCAGTATGTTTAATACGATTTTTTTAGATTATTTTATTCAGTTTTATTTATTCATTCATTCATTTTAATTTGACCAGAGAGACACAGAGAGAGAGAGGAAAGTAAGAAAGCAAGCCACTAGGCCCGGGATTTGAACCATGGTCGGCTATATGGGAATGTCCAGCACCTTAACCACCACGCCACTTGCTGGTCCCTTTTATTTTTAATTATTTTATTCAATTTCATCTATTCATATGAAATGATTTTTTAAGAGAGATTTTTGCTATAGGGCACGTGCACTCACCAAAGAGACAGAGAGATAGAAAGTGAGAAATCGGGACCAGCAGTTAGTGTAATGGCTATGATGCTGAACTCCCATGTAGTCTACCACAGTTTGAGTCCCGGACCTAAAGGTTTAAACTCACGGTTGGCATGTGTGTGTGCATGTCCAAGATCCCGAGAGGAGAATGGAGGAGAAGGGATTGTGGCATGGCCATTCTCCCTGGGGGGTGACTTCTTGCTTTCTGTCTCTCTGTCTCTCTCTGTCTTTCTGGCGAGTACACGCGCCCTATAGCAAAATCCTCTCCAACAGGGCAGATGGCCATGCCACAATCCCATCTCCTCCACTCTCCTCTCGGGATTTTGGACATGCATGCACAGATGCCCAGCGTGAGTTTCAAGCCACCAGGTCCAGGACTCGCACCATGGTTGGCCATGTGGGTGTCCAGCCACGTAACCATTATGCCACCTGCTGGTCCTTGCATTAAATAATTTACCTTTCCCATTTTAATTTTTCATTCACTCCTGTTGCTACAGATACAATAGTAAGAGTTTGGAGGTATGAATAATATTGCAATGAATTTCTTATTAAAGAAATGTTGCTTTTTACATATTTTAAAGGATTTGGTAAATGCAACTTTTACAGATTGAAGAAGAAGAGAGGAAAAAAATAGAAAATATAAAGGAAGAGGAACGGATAAAAGCAACTAAAGAATTGGAAATCTGGAAAAAACATCAAAGAAAACCTGAAGAACAAAAAATCATTCAGAGAGAAGAGAAATTAAGTCACCAAGAAAAGCAAACTGAAGAAAGGAAAAAATTAAAACATAAAAGTCTTACTAGGAATTCAGCATCTAGAACTCTTGCCATGAAAGGTACAATGACTATTTTAATATTTTCTGGAAAAGTGAGTCCTGTTGCTGAAGTATGTAGGACTTCTTTTTTGTTTGTTTGTTTTCTGGTAAATTGATTTACAATATTAAATCATTCTTCTGGTATATTGAGGATAAATAATATAATAAAAGACTAAGGTGAGGGAACCAGCAGTTAGCGTAATGGCTATGTCGCTGGACTCCCACGTAGTCGACCGCGGTTCGTGTCCCGGACCTGGTGGTTTAAAACTCACGCCGGGCGCGTGTGCGTGCGTGCCCAAGATCCCGAGAGGAGAATGGAGGAGAAGGGATTGCACAAGGCCTGTGTGCTCACCAGAGAGAGACAGGAAAAAGAGAAAGCCTCCCCTCCCCCACAGGGAATGGTTGCACCATAATCCCTTCTCCTCCATCTCTCTCTCTCCTTTTGGGATTTTGGACACACACACACACACACAAACCTGGTTTCTTTTTTTTTAGAAGTTTTTGCTATAGGGCACGTGTGCTCGCCAGACAGACAAAGAGAGGCAGAGAGACAGAAAGCGAGAAATCACCCGCACCCCCCAAGGGGGGTTGGCCACACCGCAATCCCTTCTTCTCCACTCTCCTCTCATGATCTTGAGCATGCACGCACAGGCACCCGGCGTGAGTTTAAGCCACTGGGGCCAGGACTTGAACCGTGGTCGACTACATGGGAATCCAGTGACATAGCCATTATGCTAACTGCTGGTCCCGAAAGGCATTCTTTTAAGGAGTAGTGAAATTTTCTAATAAAATGAGTAAGGTCTCAGTCTACTTGTATACTTTCTTTTGAAATTTATGCAGGTATTGTAAATATGCACTCATGTCAGGCATGAAAAGACTTAAACTGGACTAGCAATACTGAGCACTTACTGCTTTAGAGATAAGAAAAGAATTTCATAAAAAGAACTTTTCCTCCCATGACTCAAGAAAATGAGTGCTAGGGCTGGCTCCATGGCCTATTGCGTAAGGCAGCCAGATCCCACAAGGCTGACTGTATGGGCTCAAATCCTGGCCCTGGTGGCTTGAAAATAATGATAGGTGTATGTGCATGTGCACCCCAAATCTCAACAAGATGCAGAAATAAAGGGAAATAGGGGAGAAGGGATTGCAGTGTGACCATGCCACATTGGAAAGTGCTTTTCTCCCTTTCCCTATGTCTTTCTGCCCCTTTTCTTCTCTTTGTGTCTCAGATGAGCATACATGCCCTCTGGGAATTTTTTTCTGGGGGCGGCAGGAGCTAATAGGGTTGTGTGTTCTCTGGAGAATGGTGTGGGGTGGGGATGGGTGATGAAAAATCACCCCCCACAGGATATAGCCATGCCACAGTCCCTTCTCCTTCAGTCTCCTCTTGCAATCCTGGATATGCATGCACACATGCCTGGCTTGTTTCCCAAGCTGCCAGGTCTAGCACTTGAATTGTAAAGTCAGCCATGTGGAATCCAGCCTCCTTAACTACCATGCCGCCTGCTGGCTCCATTTTTCTTTTTTTTTTTTTTTTTTTGAGAGGTTTTTGCTATAGGGCGTGTGTGCTCGGCAGACAGAGAGAGACAGAGAGACAGAAAGTGAAAAATCAACCCCCGGGGGGATGGCCACGCCACAATCCCTTCTCCTCCATTCTCCTCTCGGGATCTTGGGCACGCACGCACACACGCCCGGCGTGAATTTTAAGCCACCGGGTCCGGGACTCGCACCACGGTCAACTACGTGGGAGTCCAGCGACATAGCCATTAGGCTAACTGCTGGTCCCCACTTTTATCATTTTTTAAGCTACTTTTCTCCCTCTACGTATATTTTTTCTCCTGTATCATTATATCTAACTACCTTTATAAAAGCAGATGACTTTTCATTAATATAGATAACTTTTCATTAATAATAGATAAAAACATAACTTTTCATTAATAAAGACAAAGGCCTTTCTCATCGGCTCTAATGGCTGAAAAACTGACACCGTCACAAAATGTGAATAGAAAATGTTTTTGTTACAGGAGCTTAAGGAATGAAAGATGGTATTGGCAGGGGGAACTGTGCCCAGAGGGATCATTCCTAGAGTTGATGTACATTAGACCCTGTGGCTTAACAAAGAGAATCCCAGAACATTCAGTATAGACAATGGTTAAAGAACAAATCATTAGCTGTCATATTATCAGTGATGAAATTTACATTCTTTTTTAGAGAATTTATCTTCGGTCTTTGGTTTAGTTGTTTGAGATTTTAGAAGTAGCCTTGATAAATAATTACTTTAAAAGCTTGGTAACTATTGGGTTGTCAGGAAAGTCATAGAAAATGAGAAATAAATGACTTGTTTGCTATTATTGTTGTTTTAAAAGTAAGAAATTCAGAAAATATGTTTTTTGAGAAGTTAAAGGAAGACAGTATCCCTGCTCCTCGCTCTGTTGGCAATATTAAAATCAACTTTACTCCTCGAGTATTCCCAACTGCTCTCCGTGAATCACAAGTTGCCGAAGAAGAGGAGGTAGGTATGCCTATTTTAATTGCAATTACCACAGAAGAAAACGTTTATTATACTTATTTTATGTATTGAAATTAGCACTGGTCTGAATTTCTTAAATTTTTAGTATATTGAATATTTTATTTTGTGGGACTGGTCCCATGGTCAACTACGTGGGAGTCCAGCAATGTAACTATTATACCATCTACTCATCCCTATTTATTTATCTTTAACTTGACCAGGGAGAGAGAGAAATAGAGAGAGAAAGAGAGGGAAAGTGAGAAAGCAAGTCACCGGATCTGGGACTCGAACCACGGTCAGCCACGTGGGAGTCCAGTGCCGTTAACCCCAATGCTACCTACTGGCCCCATCTATATAGATTTACAAATTTTGGATCAGTGTGGGTTTTAGAAAGAATATTAGAAAAGTATTAATATATTATTACGGTTTTTGTTAACAGGAATTTCTAATGTCACATTTTAGAATTAATATCTTTCATTAATTTGTAAATTTTTTAGAAGTTTTTGCCTTAGGGCACATGGGGTCACTGGAGAGAGAAACAGAGACCACGAGAGGGAAAGTGAGAAATCACCCCTCGGGGAGAATGGCCACATCTCATTCCCCTTTCTTCCATTCTCCTCCTGGGATCTTGGGCATGAATATGAGTTTCAAGCCAACAGGTCTGGGACTCAAACCGCAGTTGGCCGTGTGAAAGTCTAGCGATGTAACCTCTACATCATCTCCTGGTCCCCCATTTGTAAATTTCTGATTCCTGGATATATTTGTTTATTATTTTGAACATTATGTCTATAGTTATGTACAGTTATGTACAAACTAAGTTATGTAAAAACTAAGAACTGCATATTTTAAAAGAATTATTTGTTGGGGAAAACAAAAAGAATTTCTTGGGGGATCAGCAGATGGCATAGTGGTTATGTTGATGGACTCCCACATGGCCAACTCCAGTTTGAGTCCCATGCTGGGCATGTGTATGTGCATGCCTAGAATCCCAAAGAGGAGAGTGTAGGAAAAGGGATTTCAGCCTGGCCAGTGATTTCTCACTTTCTGTCTCTCTGTCTCTCAGGTGAATGCACGTACCCTATAGCAAAAAATACCTCTTAAAAATTGTGTGTTTAATTTTATTTATTGTTATTCTTTTTAAAGAATTATTTAGGAGCGGGACTGGCAGGTGGTGTGGTGGTTGAGGGCACTGGACTCCCACATGGCCAACCACGGTTCAATTCCCGGACCTGATGGCTTGCTTTCTCACTTTCTTCCTCCCTTTCTCTCTCTCTCTGTCCCTCTCTGGTCAAATTAAAATAAACAAATAAATGACGTTAAATAATATTAAATTATTTAGGGGCTCTCAGGTGGCATGGTAGTAAAGGTACTGGATTTCCACATGGCTGACCATGGTTCAAATCCCACACTTGGTGGCTTGCTTTCTCACTTTCTCTTTCTCTCTCTCTCTCCCTCTCTCTGTTTCTGTCTCTCTGGTCAAATTAAAAAAATAATTATAATAAACAAAATTAAATAAATAATTGTAAAACCAAATTAAAGAATTATTTAATTTAGGACCAGCAAATGGCATAATGGCTGTGTCACTAGACTCCTTCGTAGCTAACCACGGTTCAAATCCTGAACCCAGAGACTTAAAAAAATAATTTTATTCATTATTATTATATTTTAATTTCACCAGAGAGAGAAAGAGAAAAATTGAGAAAATGAGCTACCAGGTTTGAGACTTGAACTGTGGTTGGCCATGTGGGAGTCTGGCACTGTAACCACCATGCCTCCTGCTGACCTATGTTTTTTTTTTTTTTTTAATATTTTTTTGCCATAGGGTATTTGTGCTCCTGGAGAGAGACAGACTGAGAGGGAAAGTGAGAGAAATCACCTACCAGGGATAATGGCCCCACTGGAATCCCTTCTCCATTCTCTTTTGGAATTTTGGACACACACATATATATGCCTATGTGCTTGGCATGCTTTTTTTTGTAAGGCTTTTGCCATAGGGGGTGTTTGCTCAGCTAGACAGAGACAGAGAGAGACAGTAAGTGGGAAAGTAAGTAGGAGGGAAAGTGAGAATCACTCCCCAGTGGGGATGGCCACACTGCAATCCCTCCTTTATTCTTTTCCTGGGATTTTGGGCACATATGCGTAAGTATTGGCATGATTTTTTTTTTTTTGGAGAGGTTTTTGCTACAGGGCACGTGCACTTGCCAGACAGACAGAGAGAGACAGAGAGATAGAAAGCGAGAAATCACCCCCCCAGGGGGGATGGCCACGCCGCAATCCCTTCTCCTCCATTCTCCTCTCGGGATCTTGGGCATGCACGCACACGCGCCCAGCATGAGTTTAAGCCACTGGGACTCGAACCGTGGTCGACTACGTGGGAGTCCAGCGACATAGCCATTACGCTAACTGCTGGTCCCAGTACCAGTATGATTTTTAAGTAGCTGGGTCTGCAATTCTACCTGTGGTTGGCCATGTGGGAGTCCAGCACCTTAACTACCACACCACCTAATGTCACTGTCCAGCATGCTTTAGAAGCCATTGGGTTCAGGACTTTAACCACAGAGTTGGCCATATGAGATCCAGGACCTTAACTACCAGGCCACCTGCTGGCCCAAACTGCATTTATTTTTAAATCATTATTTTATTTAACTTTATTTATTTTAATTTGACCAGAGAAGACAGAGTGAGAGAGAGAGGGAAAGTGAGAAAGCAGTCTACCAGGTCTGGGACTCGAAAGATAGTTGGCCATGTGGGAGCCCAGTGCCCCCAAACAACATGCCACCTGCTGGTCACCATGCCACAGAACTGCAGTTTTTATTACAGGGTGTCAACCAATGCCTCTCTGAATTGATAATTTGTAGACATAACTGAAGGCCCTTAAGACATAATGAAAATTTATAAATATTAAATTTTTTCTTATTAAGTAAGAATTTCATAAGTATTCGTTTTTACTATTTTGGCCTGAGGCCATAGCCTTTGGGTAGGGGAGCCAGATCCCACATGACCCACTGTGGTTTGAATTTCAGCCCCAGCAGCTCAAAAGACCTACCAGGAATGTGTACTTGTGTGTGCTTAACATCCTGACAGGATGGAGAAGTAGGGTCAGCTGCTAGCATGGAGGTTAAGGCAGCTGGATCCCACAATGCTGGCAGTGTAAATTAAATCCGAGACCCAGTAGCTTGAAAAACATATCAAGGAGACCAGTAGTTAGCGCAATGGCTATGTCGCTGGACTCCCATGTAGTCGACCGCGGTTCTTGACCCGGACCCGATGGCTTGAAACTCACGCCGGGCACGTCTCTGTCTGGTGAGTGTACATGCCCTATAGCAAAAACCTCTTAAAAAAAAAAAAAAAAAAAAAGAAGAACACATTGGGGAACATGTGCATGCATGCCTAAAATCCCATAAGGAGAAATGTAGGAGAGAAGGGATTATAATGTGAGCATCCCTCTTGTGGGAGATGCTTTTCCTCTCAATGTCTCTCTCTCTCTCTCTCTAGTGAGAGCACATGCCCTAATACAAAACCTCTTAAAAAAAAGATGAACTGTTTTGTGCAATTTATGGAGAAAACATGTATCAGCCATTTCTTTTAATATGCAATGTTATTAAATTATTGCTTATAGAAAATAGTAACAGCTTTTATCAGAACAAACTGTTAACAACAGTATTTGGAGCATACCATTTTATTGTCAAATATTATATTGTACAAAAATATATCTAAGTATACAGTACCTCAATATACACAAACTAGTATTTGTATATTTTTCAATATAGACAAAATATATTATGAACAAGAAAAAAAATAACAATTACATGTATTTCCAGAAGGGATGAAATTTAGACTAAAAACTTTTATCTAGTTGATCTATACCAGCTAGTGAGATTTAAAACATAAGTTTAATATTGTATAAATACTAGAAGTTTAAAATTACCATCATTAGGGGACAAACAGTTAGCTTAATGGCTATGTCGCTCGACTCCTATGTAGTCGACCACAGTTTGAGTCCCAGATCCAGTAGCTTAAATTCACATGGGACGCTTGTGAATGCATGCTCAAGATCCTGAGAGGAGAATAGAGGAGATGGGATTGCGGTGCTGGCCATTCCCCCGGAGAGGGGGTGATTTCTCACTTTCTGTCTCTCTGTCTCTCTCTGTCTTTCTGGCGAGTGCACGCACCCTAAAAAAAAAGAAAAATCACTATCATCCAGACCAGCAGATGGTGTAATGGTTATGTTGCTGGACTCCCACATAGTTGACCATGGTTCAGATTCCACACCCGGCAACTTAAAACTCACACAGGGTGGGGCATGTATGTGTGCGTGCCCAAGATCCCAAGAGGAGAATGGAGAAGAGATTGTGGCGTGACCATCTCCCACTGGGTGGTGCTTTCTTGCTTTCTGTCTTTCTGTCTCTCTGGCAAGCTTACGTTCCCTATAAGCAAAAATCTTTAAGAAAAAAATCACCATCATCAAATAGCACATTAATCTGTTTGGGTGGTTATAGACAAAATACCATAGACTGGGTGACTTAAACAACAAACATATATTTCTCATAGTTCTGGAGCCTGGAAAGCCCAAGATCTAGATGCCAATATAGCTGGGTTCTCGGTGGGGAACCTTATCCTGGCTTGCAGATGGCCACATCTTCATCATGTCCTTAAATGGGGAGGAGAGGGAGCGTGAGATCTGATCTCTTTCTCTTCTTATAAGGATGCTTATCCCATCATGGAGACTGTACCCTGATGACCTCATTTAAACCTAATTCCCTCCCATAAGTCCCACCTCCAAATACCATTGCACTGATGGTTAGGCTTTAACACATGAATTTTAGAAAGGACACAAACATTCAGTTCATAACATGTCATATTGGGACCAGCAGTTAGTGTGATGGCTATGTCGCTGGACTCCTATGTAGTTGACCGCAGTTTGAGTCCCAGACCCGGTGGCTTAAACTCATGCTGGGTGCATGTGCGTGCGTGCCCAAGATCCCAAGAGGAGAATGGAGGAGAAGGGATTCAGCGTGGCCATCCCCCCGGGGGATGATTTCTCCTATCTTTCTGTCTCTTTCTGGTGAGTGAACGCACCTCTTCAAAAAAAAAAAATGTCATATTTACATCTGTGAGAAGCAGATTCTGGAGGAAGAAGGAAAATCTGAAAGTAATTGTTAATAAAAACAAGATCTTGTGTCTTTCATAAGACTTCGTTTTATTTCAGTGGCTACACAAACAAGCCGAGGCTCTAAGGGCAGTGAATACTGATATTCCTGAACTTTGCGACTTAAAAGAAGAGGAAAAGAATCCCGAATGGTTGAAAGACAAAGGAAAGTACGTTGCTCTAACTCTGGTCCTGAGATTTATCTTATATTTGGTTGTTAGTACTTAGCACATTCTCTAGGTATTTTGACCTATGTGTTTGTATGATGTGTGTGTTGTTGCAGACAGATTCAAATAAACAAATTAGGTGAGGAGAATCTCCATATTTATAAAAGTCAGATCAAGGCCAGCAGGTGACATAGTGGTTAAGAAGCCATTGGGTCCAGAACTTTAACCACAGAGTTAGCCATATGAGATATAGGACCTTAACCACCAGGCTACCTGCTGGCCCAGAGCTGCATTTATTTTTAAATAATTATTTTATTTAACTTTATTTATTTATTTTAATTTGACCAGAGAGGACAGAGTGAGAGAGAGAGGGAAAGTGAGAAAGCAAGCCACCAGGTCTGAGACTTGAACCATAGTTGGCCATGTGGGAGCCCAGCACCCGTAAACACCACGCCACCTGCTGA